CTTTCTCCATAATCCAATGCATGTTAGCAATTTCCTTTGCCCCCTCGAAATTCAGCTTGTAGTTCTGGGATTCCTTGGTCCACATATTGCTGAAGCCTACCTTGGAGGATTTTGAGCATAACCTAGCCAGCGAGTGAAATGAGTGAAATTGTACAGTAGTTGGAGCATTCTTTGGCACTGCCCTTCTTTGGGATTGGGATGAAGACTGAACTTTTCGAATCCTCTGGCCACTGCTGAGTTTTCCAAAGTTGCTGGCATATTGAGTGTAGCACCTTAACAGTGTCATCTTTTAAATTTTTAAATAGTTCAACTGGAATGCTATCACTTCCACTGGCCTTGTTGTTAGCCATGCTTTCTAAGGCCCACTTGACTTCGCTCTCCAGGATGTCTGGCTCAAGGTCAGCAACCACACTATCTGGGTTGTCCGGGACATCCAGATCTTTCTGGTATAATTCATCTGTGTATTCTTGCCGCCTCTTCTTGATGTCTTCTGCTTCTGTGAGGCCCCTACCATTTTTGTCCTTTATCAAAGTGGCTGTCCAATGAGGCCTTACATACAGCAGAGAAGAGAAGGGGAAAAAATGCAAGGGAGATAGGAAAAGTTACAGAAAATTGAATGCTGACTTCCAACGAATAGCAAGGAGAGACAAGAGGGCCTTCTTAAATAAACAGTGCAAAGACATAGAGGAAAATAATAAAAAGGGAAAAACCAGAGATCTGTTCAAGAAAATTGGAGATATGAAAGGAACCTCAAAGCCTACCTGAGCACTAATTAGGTGTGAACATAGTACTTGTAGCATGAGTCACCCGCCAAATTTACATTCACTTTGACTCTTTGTTTGCCCTGTGGACCATCTGGGGGCTTTATAGATTTCTTTGGGGCCTTCTTAAGACTTGTGAGGCCCTGTCATATTCTCAAACAGGAGGAAATAGCTCTTGCATTGGCACAAAGGAAATATGAAAGCAAATTTATTTGAAAGTTTGATAAGAAATTATTTATGACAAGACCAGCCCAAGATATGTTGCTGCCTGAGGCAGAGTGCCAAATGATGCCAGCAGCTTATGCCATAAACTGGATGGATAAGAATAACCCAGGTGGGTTCTGCTGGACCTCTCAGCAGCCTTTGATACCATGAAGTATGGCAACACTCTGGGCCACCTCACCAAGGTCAGAAATAGATGAATCGACCTATTTCCTTTCCATTCTAGTTTTAGGTGTGTTTACTTGTAACTCCATTCAAGTCCATTTTTACATTAATTTGTCGTTTTGAAAATTTGCATGGCATTTAGCTTTTTAAAATATTAATTGTCTCTCAGGCTATGTACATTTAAACATAGTTTATTCTAAAATACACATTTTATATATGGGGGTTGTAGCCAAAATTTGCATCAGAAAATCTGGATACATTCTAACCTTATTATCAATGGCCTTTTACTCTCACCTGGTTCCTCAATGACGTACAGGATGGATTTGCCACTAGAGTCCTCAAAGTACTGGAAACGTACCACACAGTCATTCTCATCCTTGTAAGTACAATTCACAGCATCCTTCCCCTTGTCACCTACAAGAGGGGGCAGAGAAAAAATTTATATATGTCAGCACAGTATTCCCACCAGTGGTCACCCAAAATCCACTGGGAAACTTGCAAGGAGAACTTAAATGCAAGGACACTTGCATTTCAGTTCAGGTCACCCAAAAAGCTCATGTTCATTTGAAGATTTGAATCAAACACAGACTCAAATACCTTGAAGAGGAGTTCCGTCTAATTTGTGCTTACCATGATCTTGCCATTCCCTGAGTAAGATTGAGGCTTGTGCACATCATCCAGTTTAGAGGGGCGGGCATCTTATGAGTCCACTAGGTGAGGGATATGGAGTGTAGGCCCATTTGACACCCACCCACTCCCATTGGACCAAATAACACAACCTGATTCTGATCTGGATTCTCAAGAACTATGGAAGAGTTTCCAGTTTCTGTGACTGGTATACCTCTCCAGAGCCTGAAGGTTACTTTTTTTAAGAGAACAGCTTCCAGAACCCTCTCCACCCAATTCAGAGGAATTTAGGGAGTCTAGAAAAAATAACATTTCTAAGCTCTGATCCTATCAAAACCCTTGTCTGTCTGTGGCATGTGGTGATGAGTCAGAAGGTTGATAAGATAATTCTTAAGCATCCACTGTTGGCCCAATGCATTTTTTGCTCCCTGAGACAAAGGGACAAGATAACTCTCCCTCCTGATTCCATGCAGAGAAGCTACTTGGGATTGGCAGTTGAATTTTACTGAAACTCTGATCATAAGATGACATCTTCATTGTACTTGGAGGAGCAGAGTAATTTAGGGGGTGAGACACAGCATGCAAAGAAAATGGTAATGCTATTGGACTTTTTAAATGTTTAAATCTTAATCTCTCTTTTGGAGATGAGACCATGCATAGGGGGCTGAATTCCAAACAGAACAGGCTCCTGGTGAATGCTGTTCAGCAGTTGCTGGAGCCAAAGCAAAGCACTTCTTACCAATGTTGACATTTTCCTGCCAGGAAGAACACAAGCATAGCTCTGTTTTAAGTTTGTCAGCTCAGGTCTTACAACTATCTCTAGCCAAA